TAATTCAGAAATCTTTTCAGGACCCCACCTTGATGTTTCAGGACCCCACCTTGATGTTTCAGGACCCCACCTTGATGTTTCAGGACCCCACCCTGATGTTTCAGGACCCCACTTTGATGTTTCAGGACCCCACCTTGATGTTTCAGGACCCCACCTTGATGTTTCGGGACCCCACTTTGGGTCCCGACCCCAACTTTGGGAAACACTGTTTTAAAGGGTCAGGCTTGTTGGTTTCAACTTTTTATAAGAAATTTGATTGTCCCCAATAAGCTGTACATTAGTAATTTATTTAATTCTGTAAATAAAAATCATTTAATTTTAGATTAATTTAAATTTCTGAGTACGTTCACTTATTGTGTGGTTTCTCTCATATTTACACAGAGAAGTTGTTTATTGTCTTAAACAGAAGAAGTGAATTTCCTCCTAACTTTGGTGTTGGTCATACCCCTACATATGTATGGAGAGCCGTTTTATTCAAAATACAATAAATAAATTAAGAAATAAATAAATAAAGCAATTAATTAAGTATTAATAAATATTCCATCAAATACATAAATGTCCCCATGGAAAAAAAACAATATTAATATATTATAGGCCTAATACATCAAAACAGCTCTCCATATAAAACTTTTAACTCTTAAAATAATTTAGCAACATTTCACAGCCARTAAAATCCTTTAAGTTAGTTTCAGCTGCAGCTTGCAGACAGGTCATTCAGCGGTCAGCACTTAGCATGCACACTGTGTTTTCAGGAAAAAACACTACATTTCTGTCATTTCAGACGCGCTGCTTAATGTTTGTGCTTACGAGTTCCTTCTCCAGCTTGTGCTTGTCCTCGGCCTCCTGCAGGAACAGGTTGGCCTGCGTCAGCTTGGTCTCCAGCAGCTTCTCCTTCAGGTCTCTGTGCTTRAAGACCTTCTCCAGGTTCTGGAAAACATTCAGCTGAATTTATGAGCTGTTTTCACACAGTTCTTGCCGGGAGAGCTTTGGCTGAACTACTGTGTCTAACAGATGTGTGCGTGTGTGTGTGTGTGTGTGTGTGT